TCGACCATCTACCTAGTACTTGAATCAATGCTGGACTTTGACATGTCTTCGTTTGTATTCTCGTTCTCGTTCTCATTCGCTTTCGCTCTCGCTCTGGCTTTCGCTTGAGAAACCGCTCATGTGTGTGTGTGTGTGTGTGTGTATAGAATAAACTATATCAGACCGAGGGTGCGCATATGCTAGCTACTACGCGATCAATATGGCAGCCATTCTCGCACTCCTTCTGTCAAGGCGCAAAGAATAAAAAAGAAAATGGATCTTGACTCCACAACATGTGCATGAAGATGGCCGTGTCCCAATACCAAGACACAATCCTAGTAGCCCTCCCCATCGAGGGCGCTTCGGAAAACCTCGCTAACGGTTCCCGTCTTCCCATCCCTCAATAAATGGGATACCAGGTTGATGTACACAAAAATGCCCAACTAGCTCCAAGACCGCTCCCTGAACCTGGCAAGCCCGTGATGCAATACAAGCCCCGACTCCATGGTAACAGCCCTTATCGGCCTGCCTATGTGGCGGCAACGGGCTGATCATCCACCATGGGATTCCTCGGCCTCCCCTTCGCGTCCACTTCAGTCCCGTTTCGTATGAGCACGTCTTCCATATCATCATACCCTTCCTCCGTATCTTCCGCCTGTGCCTGAGCGAGCACATCCGCCATGCTCTGGCCCTTGAAACTGGTGTCGGCGTAGATGTCTGTCTCTCCACTCATCACCACATCCGCGCCTTCATGTTCACCTTCACCAGGTGTGCCGTCAGGCGGTGACTCTGCTGGCGGCGCAGGTGGCGGTGGTGGCGGCGGAGGAGTCTCAGTATCCATGTTGAGTCGTTTCACTGGTGACCCAATCGGTTCTCTCTCGTCCTCTCCTTCAGCCGTGACGGATTCGTCTGTCTCGAGTCGCTTACGCTTTAATGTGCCAACCCCATTGGAATCAGCAGGTGTATTGAAATTCGGCGTGGCTTCCGCGTCGTCGTCTTCGTTATCCGACATTTTCATGTCTTCATGATCCACGGTGGTGTCTGCCTCAGGAGGAGATACTGCGGGAGACTGGGCAGGTGACGCAACGGGTCCTTCACCACCCCCTGGCCCTTTCTTTCCTTTCTCCCTTGCCGCCTTTTCGGCTTCGTGCTTCTTGTGTTTTTGATACGCTTTTTCAAAGAATTGCTTGCAAAATTCCTTGACTTTCTTCTGTTGTCGCTCATCAATCTTTGTGGGATCCTTGACTCGGCCCGCTTTATAATCTGAGGCCACCAGCTTTTTTGCGATCTCCTTTGCAAATCGCTTTAGATCCTCCCGTGGAATCTTGTGCTTGTATTTGTTCATTACGTGAGAGATATGAGGGAAGAGCTGGACATCCCGATTAGACATGGCCCGTAAGATACGAAAGACAAAGCGGTACTTACAGTATTCTCGTAAAGCTTCTTCTGTTTCTCGATGTCGTACGATTTCCACTTCTCTTCCTTCTTCACTTTGGCAGGTTCGGGCGTGGCCGGCGTGCTATTTTTGGTGTCTTTGTCGTGGGACGTGACGATGTTCTCGATGATACTCTTGAGCACATCTCGTTCCGACGGTTGTTTCGGTGGCGGCGGAGGAGGGGCCTCTTCTGCGGGTTTCGTGGGTCGGGCCCACGTTGTCTGCCCGGTGACAGAATAGTAATATGTTCTGCCTTTGTCCTGAGCCGTAAACCAGCCTCGCGGTAGTGGAGGTGACCCGCGGTGAAAAGGTAGAGGAGGACGTGAGTAGAAAGAACCCGGTCGTTGAAGAGACCGTGGACCCGACGGTGCATTCAGCGAGGCAGGCCCTCGCGGTGGGGATCGCGATCTTGATCTCGATTTGGATTTTCTTCGTCCCTGGGCAGACTCTCGCCTCTCGAATGGCGTAGTCTCCGTCTTGACGGGCGTGTTTGCGTCTTCCCTCTTCTTCCGGGGAATTCTGTAGGCCAATTCGAGCTTCGACCAAGCATCCAGAAGCGCCGAGGCTTGACTTGCTACTTTCTCGTCAGAATGGTTAGTCAAAGACTCCATTGTCTTGTCAATCTTTGCATCGACAATCTTGTTTCTCGTGAGCCGTGGTAATCGGTCCAGGACGTCGAGAATCTGAAGGATGATGTTCTCATCGTCTCGCCATGCCGAGAGCTGCGAATTGAGGATCTGGTATCCGTGGAATCTGACAACGCGGTGCCACGCCTGATCATCAGTACACCGTTGGATGCGTTGCAACAATTTGACGGCAATCCATTTCTCCTTGCATTGCATGAGTGCGGCCATAACCTTGGTCACGCTGTCGACGTCCAGCGATTTGGCTTCGACGCTATCAACGTATTCCTCGTCGTCTTCTGCTGTCTTCCTCTTGCGCGGCCGCTTCGCAACCACGGTGTCCCAAGAATCAGCATCCTCGATACCCAGGGCCTCTATCGTGGCTGCCGATAGCTTAGTGGCTCGTTCGGTCTGGGTCTTGCCTCCAATGAAACCTGTGCAGTTGGCCTCACCACAGTAGCAAGGTTGTGGATTAGCGCCATATCGATCGACATTGTAGTTGAAGACCAATTCTTCCCCGGCCTTGATATAGCGCTCAGCGAAGATGCCCATGCGCAATTTGTCCCCAACCACCCATTTGTCGACGTAGCAGTTGGGGTTGCAGGAGTGGTTGCAAAACCGACCGAGGTTCCCTTTCTTCGTCGCATCGATAAACTCACCCTTGCTCAGGGACATGAAATAGAAATGTTTGATTCCTTCTTCATCGTACTGCAGCATACGCTTCCGGAAAGTGGCTTCGGGAATGGTCTCGCCAATGTATTCAAAGATAAAGTCATGCGGTCGCAGATCGACATCGGTGCGAAGGCCATAGCCCTTCTTTTCGGTCTTGATAATCGAGACTTTGGCGTAGAGGCGCCTGAGAAACCTTTGATTTTGGCACGAAACACCGCAGCCACAGTCATCGGCACATTCCATTTTACACGCGCGGTTGATGCAGTCGGAATCCTCCCCACAGGCAAGGTTCTGCCTCGTGGACGGGTCTGGATACACATGGTCAGTCGCTGCCAGAAATATCTAACCATCCAGATTATAGCCAAACTCACCCCACTCCTCGCTGCAATCACAGTCGAGGGCATGTTCGCTGAATCCGAGGTATTTGTTTTGATAAGTGCACGCATCAATGACGGTGAATGTCGAGGTGGCTTCTTTTGTTGCGTCCGGGAGGTGGTCGAAGAGAGGAGCGACACGGGGTGGAAACTTAGAGGTGGCTCGGGAGGTCTTTGCGGGCTTCGAGGCTTCCTTGGGTTCAGGCTTGACGGGCGAGGTGGAGGTTGAGTGGTGACCATTTGCCTCGTTCGGCTCTTTCTTGGCAGTTGACGTGTCAGGATCAGCGGCCGGAGGGCGATTCGAAGAGGATGTCGATACAGAGGATGAGCGCGAGGACTTTAATCGGACTGGTTTCAGAGATGGTGAAGCCGAGGGGCTCGCCGAGCTCTGATGCTTGATGGTGGCTACGCGGGTTGTGCTGAGCTCGTGAGCAAGCTCAGCGTCCACCGACTCTTCGCGCTTGACCTCAACCATCTCTTGCTCATCTGCAGACGGCCGTCTTGACGAATCTCTGCTTAGTCGACCCATCTGGACGATGATTGCGATGAATTTGGAGACTCGAACGATGATTTGGCGCCAGGCCGACGCAGAAGTGAGGTGGTGCAGAAATTTCACGGGGTCTCATGGGCATCTGGGCGATACGAGCCAAACAACCATGGAGCTCCACCAACGGCAGCAATTCACCACCGGACAATCCAGGACCTCAAGCGCAATGATCAGTATGATGGCCTTTTCAACTGCGCGTGCCAATTGCGTCAATTGCCCGACGTTCGAGAGTTGAAATGGGACAGTAGCGAAACCGTCGGGTGGTCTATGAATGAACGAGGGGCAGAGGTGTCTACCACCCCATAAATTCGCAGTTGCACAGTGATTTCTTTTTTCCTCTCCTCCTCCAAGCAGTGAATGGTCTGGATTTGTCTCTGCAGCGACCGAGGACCAGGTGACGGAGCAAGAGCAATAGAGCGGCGGTGAGTGAAGAACACTCAAAAGGGCAGGATAGCGTGGTGGCTTCCTCCCATCATATCCGCCACAGGCACAGGCACAAGGCAGCGAAATATGTAACCAATAAACGAGGGATCCCGGCAGCAATCGCTCACGAAAAGAGCCCAAGGACCAACCAAGAGCAGAAAAAGGAAGATGTGGGAGTTCGGGTTCCAAGAAAGGGCAGATGGTGGTTTGGTGGAGAGAAGGGAAGGAGGGCAAAAGGCTGAAGATGAATTTCCTTTCAAGGTCTCGCTCTTGTCTCGCTCTCGTCTCTCTCTTTCCCTTGTCCACCACCAAATGGCCCCGGATAAGCCCATGCCAAGCCGATCCTCCAACATTCCGCTTCTCAGCCCTGCAAAAGAGTCATTGTCATTTACCAAGCGACCTTGTTCGCCTCCTCAATATCCCCATCACCATCATCATCACCGCGGTCAACATCATCACCCACGTATCCTCTCGCATGCACTATGCCTTCCTCCTATCCAACCAAAACTGGCAACCGTCATCAAACTCACCCATCCAACATGTGCCTTTCATCTCCAACACCTCAATGATGGGGTCATCTCCTTGTCGAGACAGTCTCCCTCTGCGTCGATCCCAGGGTCACCACTCTCGCCTGTTGCCTGTCTATCCACAATATCCGCGAATCCTCGCTATGTCTATTAACCCAGCCGTCCGTTTTACTCCCAAAACAAAAATCCTTGATGATGGTATCTGGCATAATCAGACACGGAATTCCCAAGTATGAGCCTGTATGTCCTGTGGTCATTGAGAGGGCTGGAATATGATGCAATCAAAAATGCGACAAACGACGTATCCGTAGCCTGCAACTTCTTCTCGTCGCAGACATCGACCCTCTTGTGTAAGGCACCCTGTGCGGCGCGAATGCACAAGATATGGCAGGTAATCCACCCTCAACCGTATCTGTTGGATCATCCGACCTCGTCTTTCGATCGCGTTCGACTCTTACTCTTGACCATGTCCACAAACCCCATAAGAGAGGTTCTTGCTTGTCGTCCAGCGTCTACTGCCTTACCTTTCCAGACGGACGAGTGCCTGCCCGGTGAGTTGGGACTAGTCGGCGTGTTCTCCTCTACTTCACCTCCAGCTCCTGCTGGCGGAGGTGTGCTTGCTTTGCAGGAGTCCGCTTCTTTGGCTCGCGCTCGTTCTGCTTTCTCGGCCGCGATCCATTCCCGGTGCTCCTGTCTCCTTCTCTCATACTCTTCTCTTGCGGCTTGCCGAAGTGCGCGGCTGACCTCGGTCACCCGTGCCTTTCGAGCAGAGAATTGCGTATAGTCTTTGATCTGATTTTTGGCTTCTTCGCCTTTCGCCGCCCATTTTCCTGCGAGTCCGCTAATGGCCAGCAATCTGGCATCCACGCGTCTTGTGAGGTAGACATTGGGCTCTTTCTTCTCCTCTTTGGCTCGAGCCATTATCCGCTCAATCTCGTCACGGTACGCGGTTTCATAAATGTCCACGTCTGCCGCTCCTGGACTCTCACTAACAATGGGCACATCATCGTCCGTGGAGACGAATGTCCCGTCGTTATCGCTGCTAGGACTGACCCCCGAAAATGTGGACGGACCAATGTACAGGTACAATTGGTCTTCCAGAGGGTCGTGTGCATGGCCCCGGTGACCTATCTCGTCTGCTGTGTTTGCATGTGGTCTCAGCGATCGGAAAGGAGGTAGCTTCATTGGATCGAGCTTCTCAATGTCCACCATGCTTTGAACTCTCGAGAGCGAGTCATCGGTGTTTGTGAGCGTGTGAGTTAGCATTCCTGAAGGACTGCTAGAATCCCTGCCTCTGTCCACTCCTGTTTGCTCTTCGGTCTTCGTCGTATCGTCTATACTCAGCGTTGGTACCGGTCGTACATTCAGCTTCTTCATGTCTTGAGAAAGCTCTTCAATCCGTGGCTCTGCGCCTGTGTGCTCTTGCCCAAAAACACTGAAACTGTGAGACTTCAGGGGAAGGGATCCGGAGTCTTTGATCATGGCTGCCGGTGGTTGAGAGAAATGTGCGCCGTCTTGATCACCCAAAATTGAAGTAATTCCCTTGGGTTTATCTTTGCCTACGAGGGACTTGAACTTGTTCACGGCTTTTACCTGCAGGAAATTTGTCAGTAGAGTCCATTCCAATGGTCCATCGCAGAAGCTTACAACTGTCATGAGATTCCTCACGTTTTTGGTTATTGCCGCATTCATCTCGGCTTCTGTAGGCGGCTCAACGAGATCAGCGGTGTTCTCCTCTTCTGGAAGAAGCCTGTCAGTGCCCTTGTTCGTAACCCACGGATGTTCCTGAACCAGGTCAGCATTTGCAACAAGCGTCAGTGATGCTATTTACTCTCAACTCCCGCATTTTAATGCGTTTATGCGGATCTTTCTCCAGGATGCGGTTCATGAGATCCCGGAAGTCATCATCTATGTCGTCGCCCAGGTCTGGCTCTTCGGTCTTGATAGCCTCGTAGAGCTCAAAAATGCCCGTCTTCTCAAATGGGATTCTGCCGTACTTCAAGCAGTACAAAGTAACCCCCATAGACCAGATATCCGCCGCGCGCCCCGACACATCTCCGTGTCGAGCAATACAGAGCTCCGGCGGAAGGAACGCTGGGCTGCCGGCGGATTTTGCTGTGCGCATTTCCGAGTCTTTTTCAAACATTTCCGAGACGCCAAAGTCGACCACTTTGAGAACATCGTCTTCTGTGACTAAGCAGTTGTCGGGTTTGATATCGCGGTGCACTACACCTTGCGCATGCAAATACTCAATTCCCAGGATCAAGTCTCGGAACCAGTATCGACAGACATGGTCAGGGTATGGATCTGCTCTTTCTTCTAAGCCTACCTTCATGACGACGCCTTTTTTGCACATTTCCAGTACCATGTACAGCGAATCTTCTGTCGGGTCGTCCAGCACCTCAATCAGGGATACTAGATTTGGGTGGTTCAATTTCTTCATGATGGCAATCTCTTCTTTGATCAGGTCTATTGCACTGGCCTGTGACTCGCCTTCGTTGCCGACATTTCGATGTAGGGGAGAATTAAAGCCCTGCAATGCTCCACGACGTCGCTGGGACAAAGGTTTCCGGAGGATGTGCGACTGTGCTCGCTTGCGCAGCCGGGCTTTGGAGAATTCTTTGACAGCCTAAGTAAGCAGGTCAGCAAATATTCTGCGTTTTAATCCATTTGGTAGACTCACGTATTCTTTCCCATACTGATCAATCGCTAAATGGACTGCTCCAAAGGATCCGCGCCCAATCTCTTGCTTGATGATATATTGATTGATGCGATGTTCTGCAACGCCATCGTCTTTGCTAGTAACATATTCGGATCGCGCATTGAGGGATTCCTGCAGAGGCCAGATCAGTAGGCCTATATAGTCGTTCCAGGAGGTGTTACATACCTTGACCTGTCTGGCGGCTGAAGGCGTCCGGCGATGATGGCGGGCCGGTGTATTGTACTCTGGGCTGGACCTGCAGCTCTGGTCAGACACTTTGGACCAGCCGCGTGTTATGAAGTGTCCACTACTCACAAGTGTTTGACCACAGGAGGCTTTTGCGAGGCGGATGAGTCGTTGGCGTTGGCAGCTTCACGCAGGGCATTCACATGTGATTGTGGTCGATCGCGGGGTTGATCTTGAGCATTGCTTACTGGAAAGCGAAAAGCTTCCTCCGCCGACGTGGACGTAGGCGACGCGACGATATCCATGAGGCCGTCGACATTTGAATTGAAAGCCTCCCTCGGTGGCAATCAGATATCTTGATACGGAGCCCCGATGAGCTCAGCTTTCGCTAGGGACGGTCGCCAGCGAAGAATGACGCTGGAGGGCCCTGGGGTTGGTGAGGGTCAAGGCTCATGGCAAGTGGATTAATTTCTCCGCTGCACTTGCCTGTTCTCGGCTCTTCGGAGGCTTCACATTGCTGAGTTGTCGAACTGCAAGTGACCACCAACCACACGCAACGAACCCTCATTCTAGACAATCCGACCTCCTATTGAAGTTCAAATATGCGATAAAGTTCTAGAAGCCGTCACATCTCTTCTGTTTTCATCTGATCGGACTGCCGAGTGGTTCAGTCTCATGCTTGTGTTTGCCCCGCCCAAACCTTAGGAGTGTGAGACCAGCACTCACCGTCACAATGGTTGTCTACTCTTTCTATATATTCGATAGACATGGTAAGAGCCAGATCAACGGCCAGGCTTGACCTTTTCCGTTGAGATTTGCTGATGATTGCAGCCGAGTGTATATACAAGCGGCAGTGGCTTCCTCCAGCAATTTCAACCACTGGCAAAACCTCAAGGCCGTCATCTCAGACATACGTCAATGGCGGGCCGCACTCACGCTCTGTGCTAAGCGCAGAGGACGATGCAAAGCTCATATTCGGGACAGTGTTCTCCTTGCGGAACATGGTCCGAAAGTTGGGAGGAGAAGACGACAGGTTTGTCGGTTGTGAAATCGATAGACCAGTCTTGCTGATCGAGACCACAGTTTCCTTTCTTACCGAACCTCCCAGTATAGACTGCACTATTACGAGACACCGACTAATACCAAGTTTGTCATGCTCACGGACACCAAGTCTGGCTCAATGAGGTTAGCTTTGCAGCAAATCTACGTGAATTGTTACGTCGAGTATGTGGTCAAAAATCCATTGTCACCTGTCGAGCATCCTGGTGGAATCGGTGTCAACAACGAATTGTTTGAAGCAAGCCTGGAACAATTTGTGGTAGGATCAATTCTGCATGCTGAGTGAAGATCTTGTGCTGACAGAATAAATGAAGGATCGAGTCCTAAACGCTCCCTAACGAGGTCTTGGTTCATGGAGATCGAGTGGTTTTGCGTAGTCATGGTTTTGAAGGCCTTACGAGTACGCAATAATCCCTCCTACCCCTCCACGGCCGTCAGCCAATTTATCGCATCATCTCAGCATACTGGTGAACACGATACGTTGGCCCGGAGAGAATCCATGAACTCACGATATATCCCAAGCAAGGTATACCAAGAGCTGTGGGCGGCTCGGCTGCGAGTCACGACAATCACAATCAAACAATGTGTCACTTTCCGCCCCAGGCAGAGGTCACAAGGCACAAGACGAGCGTCGATAGCCACATGACCAAGATTCTTGTGCTCGTACTGTGAGAAGCGAGGGTCGGGGTCTCCAACGTGCGGGACGCAACGGCCTTTTGTGAATTCTGGAATCACGACAATGTCGGTGCCGTGGTACGTCGGCTACGTCCTTAGGTGCATGGCGTAGAGGGGCGGCTCCGGCTGCACGGGTGATTCAAAGGTCAGGCGCGTACTGGTCGTCGATCTGGGCTCACATACGGGGTACGTCTATGTCTGAGAAATAAATTGGTCGGCGCAAGGCCAAGGACCAATGTGAATCCGAAAGTGAAGATCTCGCCTTTGATTGGGTATGTAGGAAAAATCCTTGGTGTCGGACTAGAAATGGCGGCGCAGGAAAATCCGACGAATCATAAAATTCATACGGGAAACGTCGTCCGGAGAACCCAGATATCTGCATATACCATGACTACTCGTCTGCTCGAGAAGACCGTGTGCTCATTCCCAGCAATCTCGAGGCAAATCCTCCTCTTTTCGATGTCGATCTCTCTCTTATCGGCCTGTCACGGGGGTTGTCCCGGCCTTCCACGTGCCAAAGATGGTGCAGCCTCACCAGGAGATACTCCGTAACTGCGCTTGGACTTGGCCAGTGGCTCAGAGAGATCGCTTCTACTCGTCGGTGTGGGTTAGAGAAAGGACATCACGGGTCAGTGAAGCGGTCAGCGAGGGGCTCGTAGTCGATGTCGAAACCAGGATCTGCAGACTCGCCACTGAAATATTTTCTGAACCGGACAGAGCCGGAGAGATGCACCCAACCTGCATAGATTTGTCTATCGTGCACCCTTGTGGTGCTTTTTGCAAGTTGACGTGGCGAGAAGTGCCCAATCACAGTTTTTGGTGATGTAAAGGCAGGAAAATACGGTTTTCGGCATGCATGTTGAAGGTGCTACACCAAGTGAAACCTTGTATACCCCCTGGGGACGAACGAAGAGGTAAGGTGGTATACCTCAGTGGACAAACTACCTTACCCAAACTCCGATCGCTTCCATCGGGATTTCTTGTCTGAGAACTTCTCTGAATGAAGACGAGATGCCGTGTGGCTCGTATATCGAAGGAACGGTGAAGGAAAATTGCCTTTAAAGCTGGCATGCGACCAGTGGAGTCGTAGTGGCTGAGGGCAAGATCGGTGAGTGAGGCAGCGCGGTGATGGCGGTGGCTGCCTGCATTGACCAGGCTGTCACTTTGTCAGTTCGCGGCTGTCAGAGTGGCCGCTGAAATGGCCAGCTGACAAGTTTGCCCAGAGGACCTGCTCCATCATCCTGCTTTTTCTGATAGATCATCTCGAGGTTTGTGGGGACACTCGACAGAAAGGCAACAGGATGAGGCTGAGGAGTCCAAGGAACGTTCGGATAGCCCGAACAAGGGAAGCGATACCCTTGATCCAGGGCAGCAGGAGACGGCGATTCGCGTTGCGTACGAGTAAGAGGTATCTGTCATAGCATCCGGGGGCTTTTGCAAAGGACGATATCTCATGGACTAGGATATCTCGAACTTGAAGGAGTACGAGTACGAGTCGTAGCTAAAGTACATAGTAGTGGTGAGTCTGAGGTACTGTGGTACTGGGGGTACCAAGGGATCTACGAAGACTCGGCAGTGGCCGTCTTGGTTTCTTGGGGGCGAGACCTGCCAGGCTTGCCTACTCATACCTGTAGGTACCGGGTAGAACTACTAGGTACCTAGGCATTCTAGAGCCAGAGGCCTAGAGCCCTAAACAGGTACCTATTATTACATACTCCGTAATTAGGGCCCAGATCCCAGGCACCCAAAGTCAATACCCACGCCAACTTTACATCTCGTGTCTTGCGTCCTGCACCTCTGGTCCTCTTCCATCGGGACCATGTGTCCATCAAATCTTCCACCTCCACTTTCGATGACCCTGTCGTGGCCTGTCTTCCGATTCTTCATCAACCTTAGCCATGGATAACACGAGGAATCCACCGAGTATGCACCTCTAACCACGCCTAGCTGAAAAGTCATTTGAGAAGTTTCGAGGTTGTGACGCCTGTTGCTGATTTCAGAGTAGTGTTCAGGCCTGACTACCTTACTGAATCATCGTGATGGCCTCACCTGCCTCGTCCTGGGTTCTCTTCCCTATGTCCAGATTGAAAAGATCGGACGATAGCAACCAGCCAGGATGAAAAAGAGTGGGCAAACTCCGAACACCCCTGGGTGCGATTTGATGTTCTGCTCCATGCACGACAGCATTACGAGGTACTCGCCAGGGGTCGGGTGGTGAGGTTTGGGACTCCTGCATTCTGGTCCATCACACAAAAGAAGGCCAAATATGCGCACACAAAACACCCTGGACCGTTTGCGGTTCCTGGAGTCCCCTAGCCTCGCTCGCTAGCTCCTTTTTCTCGTCCACTTGAGCGCCCCCTGGTCGGTGACCCTGGTCCCAAAATTCTCACACTCTCAAACTCTCCCAGAGTCGTATTCTTGGGCCCAAGACCCAATCCGTCGATACCCATCCATCGGCTTTTTCTTGTGTGGTCAAATTGCTCCATATTACGCCCCGTGCGCCGATTCGCTCCCTGAGGCCGCAGCTAACCCAGGCACCGTTGTCCGCAATTCTATCCACACCTTCCATTGGCGAAGGCGGTGGAAAATGCATCGCGCCACTCGCTCATTCAGCGAGTTGGACCTCATTGTGCGTTTCGACGTTTTGCTCTCGCCTCCTTCCTTTCCCAGCCTCTGGATCTCAGCCCAGCGATTGGGCTGACGGCGGCTGCCCATGGGTTTCCCGTGTGCCAGTCGTCCAGAGGTGCCTGACAGCTATCTCCACCAACACTGCACAGGTATAGGATCCACTCCCCACTATCGGTCGCGATCAAATACACCCTCACCCCATGTGGAACGGACGCTGCTACGACGTCTGTACCTTGCTCAACCCAAGACGCCAACAGGCCGAACAAATTCACAGTCAGCTGCAGGTCCAGGTCCTTCAAGAACCTGTGCCACCACTCATCAATCGCTTCCTACGTGACCAGGGGGCCCTTTGTACCTCTCCACTTTTCCGAATTCCAGCAAGCCACCCTCCCCGCCGAATCCTCGCTCGACTTCTGAACATGGGGCAGCCCTGATTGACGACTTTTCTTCTCAAGACAAAAAGACGGCTCTTGTGCGTGCCTGAGGATCCGTCTGGACGACTTTTCTCTCCCACCCCTCATCATTTCCAAAGAGCACTAGGAGGAATCTGAGAGACCAACGTTCCGTTTCTTCATATCCTTCCCCCGTGCCAACCTACCCTCCATTGCAACTCTTCTCCCACACCTTTCTATTTTCCCACCACCCATCATATCACGAGACCAGCACACACAAATACCTCTCGGATCGTCACCAGTCCCAACGCCCTCTACCGCGGTCATGAGAATATAGGATTGACCAATCTGGCTTGACTGCCTCGCAAACAACTCGATATGACTTCAACGTCTGGTCTTGGGGGCGCTTGTCCCGTGCCGTTTCTGCAAGAGAGCCTCTTCCCACATGCAGGGGGATGTACGTACCCGTTCAGCGACCTCGACCATCCCATGTGCTCTGGCTGATCGAGTCCAGTTATTTCCGGACGTTTTTGCATGCCCTTGTCTACTCTTGAGCCCAACTTGACCTGCTGTTTACCCTGCCCAATGACGGATTGGACATATTCGGATGGTAAGCGGAGGCAGGACACGCTGTCAGATATCAATATGCTGAACCTGCTCAGGATTTGAATCCCGTACCGAAATTGCCAATTGGGTAAATGTGGCAGCATTTGTGTTGTCGGTATATCTACTGCTATCATTTGCTGTCCTTCCCGTCAAGTATACTCATCGGCACTATTTGAGTGTCTGTCTGACCTTGGGAGTGGTATTTATGGAGGTATGTTCAGGTCTGAGATCCGTCCTGGACATTGTGGCTGATGTTGTCGGTATCAAGCTCGCTTTCATTATCCCGCTGGGCACGAAACCGGCGCAGTGCTTCAACGAAATTACCCCCAATGACATGAAATCAAGCGGCTCTTGCGCAATTAGCGGCGCCTTCTTGTTGTTTGGAGGTTGGGCTATTGTCATGTGGGTTTTCGTCAGAGCCCTAGCCCTTCATCTCCAGATCTGCTGGGAGGTTGTGCTTGGAGACAAGTCATTCTACACGGCGCTGGTTCTGGGGTGGCTCATCCCCGTTGTTGGCCTCGCCTTGACGCTCAGCCTGACTGGAGTGTCCTTCCGGTTTGGCAACGTCTGCCACATCAACCACAAAGATGCTCTTCAAGATTACTGGGGACCCCTCTTGGCCTTTGCCGCCTTGGCGCTGGTGTTGCAATTCGTCACCATTGGCTACTGTGTCCAAGTTTACGTCAAGAGTCTTCTCGACGACAAGCCAACCACAAATACCAGCTCTCAGCCTCCGACATATCAAGGGAGTATGAAGACGGTGACGGCAAGGCAAACTTACCGCCGAGTCAAGAGAGTGATTGAGCTTCAATGGCGGGGAGCCAGCATTGTGCTCGTCATCATCGCAGAAGTTGTGTTTTTCTCGGTGGTGTTTGTCTCGATGGACAACAGCACCAAAGTCGACGCAGAGCTTTTGCAGAAATCGCAGCGTTGGCTGACCTGTCTGGTGGCCAACAAAGGAGACAAGAACAAATGCCTGTCTCTTGCGGGCGGTCTGGTAAAATCAGAGGCGGTGGTTATGGCAGTACTGATTATCCTCGGGGTAAGATTGTTGGAGCTGTCTCTGTTTCTCATCATTCTAATCAGTGTTGCAGTTGAGCGGTTTCTGGTGCTTGATGTTCATGGGCCGCTGGTCGATGACTCATGGCTGGGCCGAATTCTTCCGAACAAGATTGTTTCGCAAGAGTGAATTTGTCTCGGCGGATGCCAGACGGTTCTCGAACGACCCTCGTACGTACGAAATGCTAAGCGGAGCGACGCCTCAACTGAACATCCAAACCCCAGATCGAGCTTTGACGAGCCCCAGAATGCGGAGCGAGTTCTCGCACACGGATACAAAGCAAGATCTGTATGGCTCGGGGAGAGCATATGTCACTCCGGTGGCGAGCTACTCCCATCCCACTCCCCCGACCCAACACAAAGAATGGGATCCGAGGTCGACACACGCCAGGCCGATCGATGTATCCGGAAAAGGCCTTGAAATGAACATATATCCGGGATGAAAATGTCGACGTGTTCCGGACCACAGTTATTTATTCAACAATATGCTTTCTGCACCTTTCAGCGTGTGGCGCCGAGGAATGATTGCGATCTAGGCAGAAAATTGCCAGTGTTTCATCTGGCTCGGAGGCGGCTGTATGACCATATTCTTGCATGGTCCAAAGTCCCGCAGTGTTTTCAATGCATTATGAGTTTATGCGGCTTCTGTGGTTTTACAAATGGAGGGAGAAAAGTACAATGTGTGCAGCATTGTGATGTACAAATGGGGAAACGGAAGCACGGGGGGATCAGGGTCGTCATTGGCATGATACCTTCCTTGAGCTACTATGATTGTGGTTCAAAATTGTTCAACATCCAAGGGATACCCATTCGCGTCGACATATTTTCTTTTGACTGTTCGGTGTTGTCAATACAGAGGAGTTGGTCGCTCCACGGCGAAGAGAAAAGTTGAAGACGAAGGGTAAGAGGCGGAACTGGGTTGTCACGATTGTGAGCAGCCGGATTCCATGATACTGTACAGAGAGGAAAGAAATTCCCGCTTGTCATTTTGTAATGCATGGCAAGAGGGGCTGGATCCTACTAGAATTGCCTGTTATTTTCCTTTCAGAGTGAAGGCTGAGAGAGGGAGAGGGAGGAGAGGGAGAAGTCAAGGGATTGTGAGGAAGGCATTCAGACGTGTGAGATATGTGACGACAAGGAATGAGCGAAGTGATGGACGAGGGATGTATCTATGTATCTATGTATCTGTGTATGTATAGAGCTCATGGAGAGTTGGGGTTCATTCAGTATCCAGAGTCTCTGTCTGTGTTCAGTTCCAATGGGAACTGGTCGCGCATTCACTTAGTCACTCACCCACTGAGTCACTACGTGTACCAAGTACGGGTACAGAGTATGCCTGAGGTAGTCGGTACTAGTACGAAGAAGGCACTTTGCACAGTAACGAATTTGATTTAGGTAGGTATACCACTTGTACACATCCGGACTAGCCCCTCGGGCCCCTCCTTACTCCTTAGGTCCCTCCCCATTAACGGACAACTTGACGCGCTAGACCTGTTCCTGAAGACATCTCCGTGCGGCGATGCTAGCGCCGAGTTAGTTTGGCTGGTTTAGTCCTATTCGGGAGAAATCCGCCGGTTTTGGGGTACCTCTCTCTAAGTACCTCGTACCTACAAGTACCTGGCTGGGGGGGGGGGGGGGGGAGAACATGGACCGCTTGAGAACGGCCACGTTTCGAGAACCGAGCAGGAGATACAGACCCGGGAATTTAATTATGACATATGTGTAACGACTCAAAAATGACCCGGACTCGTGCTCGGTACTTCGTACTCTTGACTCTGACTCTGACTCTGTACCTCGTTACTCTGTATTGTACTGTACTTGATGACTATTCCACTCCCCCTTTATCCACTAGGTACTGTAGGCATACTCATACGGAGTGGGTATGTAGGTAGGTAGGTAGGTAGGTATGTAAGACGTACTGTAGATAGAACGAGGAGAAGGAGAAAGAGAGGGAACACCCGCTTTTCTCTCTTTTAGGCTGTTATCATGATGAAAAAAGATGTTGAGGATGATACATGCATATGTACATGCATACATGCGTGCGGGAAGGGAACTTCGGCTCGCGGAATCTGAAGTCGGTATATGTAATACCTCTTTCCCCTTTTCTGCAGGACCGAAACGAGAACTAAACTAACTAC